ATTCACTGTAAAACTTTAAATTACTGAACCATATCTTTACACTTCAGAAGTGCATTTCATTATTAATTAATTAAGTTAAATCTTTAATAATTTCTGGTATAATTAAATTCATTTAATAAAAAATAATATTATTACTTTTAGGCCCTTTTTTATATTTATTTCTTCAGTTTTATTTTAACTAAAACAAATTTTTTTATTATTAATATTATTATTTGTGACACTGAAGTTAGCAGACGTCTAAAAATTTTTGATTTTTTTTTTTAAATTAAATTACAAGTAAAAAGATATTTCTGAAAAATTGCACTCATAGTTCTTCAAGTTTTTTACATGTGACAATTTTTTTTTTAATTGTTTAATTGAAATTTCTTCAATAAAAAATTTCTAAAAATTTTGAAATATCAGCTAACTTCATTTTCATTATTATTTTTAGTAAATATTCACATACTGGATCAGTTGGAATAGTAAATTTACACTGCATATTCAACACAACAAATTAATCTAAAATTCATAGGGCAAAACTAGATGCCTAGATGTTAATTACATGAAAATTAACAATAATCCATTAGTCATGATTCATGATGAATGTCAACAGATGGAATTATTTTATAATTTATTTAATTTGTATTTTGAATGGCTTAAAAAAATTCTTTATTAGTTAAATTGTTTCCAAGTTAATTATGTTTACTAACCAAGCACGAAATATATAACTTCACCGCTATATGCATGTGAGTAATTACACTTGGCAAAGTGTATCTGTCATCGTACGAGGTAAGTAAAATGAGGTTATACGTTACAAATTACTTGTAAGAAATTATAAATAATTTAGTTGCAGATTAAATTAATTTTTATTTTAAAAAATAAATAAAAATTTCTGAAAATTTATTTACACCGATAATTTTCCTACAATTAATCACAGTTTTTGTGTAAACAAAATGGAGGTCACTTGAGAAGAAATAAAAAAAATTCAATGTAAGTATAATACTGAAGTTAGCCGTCAGCTGTTAATTAAAAAAAATTTTTTTTAACAAATCAATAACAATAAAAAAATTATTCTAAAAATTTTCACTTGTAATTTTTAATAATTTTTACATGTGGTATTTTTTAATTAAATTTTTTTTATATATAATAATTTAATTGTCATAAAGTTCTAAAAAAATTTCTTATCTCTGTCAACTTCAGTGTCATATGTAAGTTTACTATAAAAACTCGAAACATCACATTCATGTTTTTTTTATTAATATTAATAAATTTAATAATTCAATTGTTTAATAATAATATTTTACATTACAGATAAAATTTGTCCTATCGCTCTAAAGTTGTATACATAGTATGAAGGTTATTATTATTAAGATTACACTGATAGTATTTACAAATAGATTATGAGTCGCTTAACAAGTTCCGCATCGATTAATTGATTTATAAATCAAGAGTTCTCGGGTTAGCAGTGGACAAAAGTGAATGGATGGATATATAGATGGATAGATGGATGGATGGATGGATGGATGGGCGAAACAAATTAAATTTACCGGTTTACATGCCCTGATAAATCTCATATCATGAGGAGCGTCAGCCAGTCGGTAATTACATATACACTGCGATAAAGTTATGGAAACAGAATTGTTACATTTATGGCATAACCTACAGGTATACAGCTTAAACTTGGATTACAGTTTATACTCTCACTCGGTTTTCATTCAATCCAATTCAATATTTATTAACAATTTGTAATTGCGTTTGAAACACTTGAAGTAATTTAATTTTATAATTATTATTAATAATAATGTTTAAATCAAACTTATAATTTATTCAAAGTAAATTGAGTTAATATACTTTATAATTTGTAATATTCGTTGATTTTTACTAATAATTAAATTTAGTAATGAGTTAAAATTTTCCATTATAAAATAGTAATTAATAAACACTAGGACTTTTACTTTGTGCAAGTAAGTTTTTTTTTTTTTTACTTTTGTTCCATTAAATTAACTTTGTTACTTTGCTATGCAGAGTGATTAATAAGTGTTCGTTTTTCTCGAAAAGTAAAAGAATAAGAAATTTTATAAAAATTATAATAAAGCGTTTAAAAGAGAAAAAAATGAAGTGACAGCGTATAGAGTTACGCTAAAAGAGCTACTTCATTCTAGGGAATTCATCACGGAGGGTGAGAACCAGGTGAAACTAATCGTAAGCGAAAGGCGAGCAAGCTAGTAAAGATACAACAAGGTAAAAAGGCACGCGGCAAGTCTCTTCTGTTTTACTTTACTTATTTTTTTCTTTTTTTTTTTCAACTTATTTATTCTTTTTGGCTCTTATTTCTTCGTACAGTAAGTCACTCAAATACCATTTTAAAGTTTATACACTACACCGCCTGACGATAAAATGATAAAAACTTTTGTGAGATAAATTTTCTTTGATTGTTAAAGGTCTTGAGAATTACATTTATTTCCCATTCGACATATTTGCGTACACGGAAAAAAACCACTCAACGAATATTATTATTTTTGTAATATTGTAATACAAACACAACGCTGGCTACTTTTTTCATAGACCAGGGAAATGGATTTTTTTTTTACTTGTTTCATCGCTGGCGTACCGATTTTCAAAAGTTTTTTAATGAAAAACTTAGTTATTCAATAACTACTCAAGTTTTCATAAATTATTTGTTTTATATTCAATTGTGATACTTGTTTTGTTTATTTTTTAGTACGAAACAGATGAGAGCAACAGGAAAGCAACAGGAATGTTTTCTGGAAATTTTTGTTGATATAAAAGTTTTAATGAGAAATTAAATGCTTTTTAATTAACGTAATTGTAATATTTTATTGTAATGAAAAGTAATCAGTTATAGCATTTAACATGTGATTAATTGTGATACTGACATCTGACTTTTTTTGCTATTTTTATCACAAATTAATTATAAAAAAAATATTTTTTAAAAAATTTGCACTTGCAATTATTTTTAATTTCTAAATGTGCAATTTTTTAATTAAAATTTTTTCATAATTAATTTAATTGTTATAAAAATCCAAATTTTAATTTCTTAAAATAGTAAGTAAGAGAAGTTATTTAAAATTCATTATTTGATACACAGAAAAAAAAATTAACTTGAATCAGGTGAAAAATTCTTGAATCAAGTAAAATTTACTTAAACCAAGAAAAATTTCTTAATTTAAAAATTTTTCTACTTAAATCAAGAAGATGAAGTTCTTCAAAATTATTTACTTGATTCAAGTTAATTTTTTTTTTGTGTACAATTATTTTTTTTTTTTAATATTTCAATAAAATTTTTTTAGTGAAGAAATTAATAATGTAATTACTATTAAAATGATTGATTTTAGAAACTTTGATGTTACCGTCTCGCGTACTTAGTGTGCTTTATAAACCCTAATTAATTATTTCATTTAATAATTTTATATCTAATGGTTTGAAAACTAATTTTATAAACTTATTATTTTGCAGCATTAGTTCTTAAAAAAAAAAAAAGTCAGAAGAGAGTAAATACCTCAATTAGTAACAAAAGTGGTTAACATTAAAAAATACTTCAATTTCATCGATTCTATAGTATACTGTAACTGCATCTGTTCTACTTTAAATTGTTAGTAACTTTTTAAACGAAAAAGTATCCTGATGAAAAGTTTAGTACATAAAATTCTAGTTACATTTAATTTTTAATTTTTAATAACTCTGCAGAAATTAGTGGTTTGACCGAGTTTATTGATTACTCAAGGAAAATTAAAGTTCAAGCTTATAATGAAAATTTTTTTCTAAACAAGCTGATGAAATTCCAAGCTACAAAATTAATTATTAATTTTTAATTGAAAATAAGATGAGATCAATGAAAAACTGCTTGACGAAGAACAAAGAGCACTTTAAAAATTTGTGTCACACCCATAATTATGCAACTGCACGCTTCGAATCGAAAAAAAGTAAGAATTTAAACTGCGTTCAAACTTTTATACAATTTAAAATTTAAAAGTACTTTTTAGTTCTCGCATCGTGCTTCTTGAAAATTAAAAATTTTGAAGTGTTCTTTCTTGTGTGAAGATCTCTTCAAGTAACGTAACTGTTTTTGAAGCACAAAATGTTGAATTTTAATCATTTCCAAGGTATGAATTTAAAAAATCTTTTTTTTCTCAGCTTATAAATTGTTAATTAAAAAACAAAAGTTTTCTTTTGAATTAAATTTATCTCCAAAATAAAAATTCAAAAAGATTATTTGTAATTCAAATCCATAAATAATTTCAAAAAACGTCATATTTATAAAATACGCAAACATTTCTGGCATGAAAACGATTCCTTTGGATTTTACACGGTCAGCTTGAGGTGAATTCACGATAAATAATATTCCGGTGTAGATACAGTATAAAATATCGAGCCATTACACGCTTAAAAGTCCTGTAAGTATGTTCCGTTTGCGCACCATTTTGTAGCCTTCGAACTCAAATAATAATTTAACACACTTGTGTGCATTCTTTTACAACCTCAACAAAAAAAAAAAAGAAATTAACCGCTTCTAGCGTTACTTTGCATTATTGCTCCTAAAATTTTTACTAGGCACCGCTCGTAAATATTTAATCCAACAGTAAGCTATAACCTGTAACTAAAATTTACAATACCGCATTTTACAGCATAAAAGGCCGTAACTCAATAAATAGATGCAAATAAGATGAAGCTTAAAGATTCAAGAGCTTTGCGGTCAGAGAACTAACCAAGAAACTCCGAGGACTTGTGTTCGCGCCCAGCACTCTACACTGCAACAAAAAGGACTTAACTCTGGTCTCTGGTAAAGATAAATCTTCATTTAAATATTATTTGAAACTGTGAAATTCTACCTGCAGTGATATTTTATAGTTAGCTTCTGAAAAATAATCAGCTGTTACAAAATAATTTAAATTTATATTTTATGGTAATAAAAAAAATATAATAATTATTTTTATTTTCAGACTATATGCTGCTTAAGTTAAATTCATCTGTTTCTAGGTTCATCGCATAATTAAATTACTTTTTCCAGGATATTTTTTTCCGTGTACCGTATTTTTCTTTGGCAATTTAGTTCCCTTGTGACTGCGAAAAAATATCTATTAGGGGTATTTGTGTTTAAGATACATGTTCTTTGTATCAAAATGTTTTGCCGAAAGTAATGAATCAAATAATGGGGATGAAAAACGGCTAAAGACGCGCACAGTTTCATCAGATATATATATATATATATATATATATATATATATAGATGTACGGTATGATGTTTTCTTGTTGGTTTACTTTAATTTCCCAGTTACCAGTACAGTGTAAACGGGAGATCTGAGACGGAAAAGAAATGCTGAAGAAAACGACTAAATAAAAATGTACACGATCGAAAGATGTAGTGGAGCAAACGAGGTAAAATAAAAGCAAAAAGAAATTTGTATATATATATAGAAACGTAAAAAAGCGAAACTGGGGATAAAATGAGAGTATGCTGCATTTTATCCTCCGCTGTTTGTATATTCTTTAAAAAACTAAAAAAGGTAAAACGAGGAAAAATATATAATAAAAAACGAAATTGTTCGAGTTACCGAGTATTCCACTGCATTCTACATTTAAATCTAAATTTAAGTCTTGAAGTCCATTAGCTATGTATACATATTACATAGACCCTCGACCGTATACAATCAACTGTAAATACACACGGTTTTAGTTTGTTTGGGTCTGCCGTCAATTTTAAGTGACAATTTATTCCTTTTGTTGCCACACTATCCTTCATATGCCCACTTGTTTCAATCACATGCTAATTACTCTTTTGTCAATGAGGTAACTGACCCGAAAATATCGATAGAATAACTAAGAATTTATAATTACATCCCCGGAAATACAATTAATACATTAACTACATTTATCCGTAAGCGATGTTTGCGTGGATAAAAAACTTTTGAAAGGTTAATCTAACTTTTAAATAAATTATACTTTGTTTTTTTCTTCACAGGATAACCGTTCTCAAGTCACCACGGAAATTTCATACAACGGTGAAGATATAAGTGAGATATTAGAGCTACCGAACCAGTGGCCGGTATATCGTTTAGGCGTTGCTGGTTAGATTGTAGATTGTAGATAGGTCGAGTTTTGCTTCCCTGGTTTTACATTATAGCTTGTAAGAATAAACTAGTTTGGCAAATAGATCTGACAATAAATGCTGAATAGTTGAAGAAAAAATCAATTTAATAGCATGTGGTGCATAAAAAATCAATTACAAGTTGGCATACTAACAAAAAATAAGAAGTATTTTCTATCGACAAAACTAAAAATAAGTTAATTACGAAACTTTGGAGTTTTGTGTCCGGGGATCATAACTTGCAAGTTTTAATTATTGGTTTGTATAATAAAATTATTTTACTAATAAATTTTCTATACATTTGTACACAGTAAAAAATTAACTTGATTCAAGGAAAGAAATCTTTAACTAAGAACATTTTAATTTCATTCAGAATTTTTTTTTCTTGATTTAAGACAACTAAATTCTTTAAAATGATTTTTTTGGTTTAATTTTTTTTTTTTTTAATCGAGTTAATTTTTTTTATAAATTTGTTAAAATTGTGATGACCGACTTTTTTTTTTTTGTTGTTTAAATTGTTCATTTTTTTTTATGTATTTTTCAAAAAAAAAATATATAAAAAAAAATCAAATAAAAATTTCATTCAACAAAATGAAAATGAAAATAGTTGACCCCACATGTACATAATATTTACCGAATTTTTTGCCTTGATTCAAGACAATAAAATTGTTGAAAATTATTTTCTTCGTTCACGAATTTTTCTCTTGATGCAAGTTATTTTTTTCCGTGTAATGATTATCTTTTAACAATTAATAAAAAAAATTTTTAAAATTTACATTTTTTAATTTTTTACAGTTATTTCCGAAAGCCAAACGACTATTCAACTTTTCAGAGTGATTTACCTCATTGCAAACATTTGGTACCCACCAGAATATTAAAATTCACAGAAAAAAGTAACAAAACTCATGAACTCTTAAGTCTAGAATAAATTCACGGGATTGAAATGACACCAAGTAATTTCTTCTGAATAAATTACATTATATTATTATACTTATTATTTTACTCCTTATATTATATATCTTTTTATCTTCTTATATTAATATAACTTTACTTAAACTCGATAAATTATCCACCTCAGTAATATCGAAAAGTGTACAATAAAAGCTCGTCGCTTTATTTTAATAAATTGGACGTATATATGGTACATATAATATGTATGTATGTACGTATACTCCTTTTGTACAACGAATAACACAATGAATATAAAGTAAAGCGAGGAAAAAAATGAAGTGAATTGAATTAAATGCACATCGGCCGATTGTGTATAAGCTGATAAACACATCATACCTTTTAAAATAAAAGTATAAAATAAAGGGTAGCTCTAGCTCCCATTTTTAACCCCTTTTATTTTTCTGCCTTCGGTAAAGTCTTTAAATTACTTCCGTTACTTGGAGGGTAAGTGAAATAGAGCATAGACAGGAAAATCCGAAGAATGGCCGAGGAAAAGTTAATTGAATGGAGTAAGGGGAAAGCGTTCTCTCAAACGCTTTGGATTTCACTCTGATAAATTTAACATTATTGCGACTTTTTAATTCTTCGGTGACTGACTCCTGCTATTTTTTCTTATTTGTTTACATAAATTATCTATATTCCTTAATTAAAACTTTTTATTATTATTATTATTATTTTAGGTTTATATACAATCACGCATCAACAACTAATTATTGCGAGAATTACCAAGGTGACTCTTCCACAAGCTCAGTGTCGGTAATTGAAAAAGGTCAAAAAACTTGACAGCAGAATGACAAATGGTGGGTTGGCCAGTCTTAGTTGTCCGCCGTGTTGCATTGCGGCTGGATGCTCGCCTTAATTAAGTTAAAAATTAGCAAAAACAGGTGATAAACTTTATTAAAATGTTTATAATTGGGGAAAAAAACAATAATATAGTTAAGTCTCTCGTAAAAAATGAAATAACTTGAGAACTTGGGTTTTTTATTATTATTGTTTTTCCTATTTTATTTTCTTTTGTAAATTGCTATACAGTTTTGCGACAAATTCATTTTGTAGAAATAAGAGATACCAGTTGGCAGAAATGTTATGAATTTTTTTCACCAGAATTGAATTTAAGAGAAATAAATGGATAGAGGTTTTGCTGAGCGGTTTCTAAAGGTCACGGAAAATTGAGAATACGATAGTTCTTATATTGTAGACTGAAGACCAAAATATCTGTCTTGAATTAACTTATTCCTATATAAGTAAGTTTAGAATAGTCATTTCATCAATTTTTAACTCTACTTTGTTCCGGATTTATGTTTTAAATTTTATATTAAAAAAAAAAAAGGCTTACCGAATTTAATTTTCAACATGTATTTTTTGGATAAAAATACATTTTTTTCGATTAATAATAATTTTTAAAATTGAAAATATATATGTATAAAAATAATCTGAAAAATATGAGAGAAATTAAAATTTAAACGAATTTATTGTATGCAAATAATATTAAAGTATTAACGTTTTAAATTCTATATAAATTTATGACTTGATTATTAGTTGAAAAATAAAACTCGGTATTTATCCATAAATAATTTGGCAATTTATTTCATACTAAATGAACATCAGTATATAAATCGAAATAAATTTTATATGAAAAAAGCAATCAACGAAATTAAAAATAATAATAGCTAATGAATGAAATATTAACAAACAAAATCTGTTAAAAAATTGATTATAATTAACTTTTTATCTCCAGTGGTTGGAAAATTTTGATTGAATAAAATATTTTAATTATTTCCAACATATTAAACTCAATATTTATAAAAATTAACAGTTTTACAAAATAATTAATTTAATTTATACACTACAAATGTGTGACAATTTAATAAATTACTCAGAAGAAAAGTTTTGTTTGTGTAATAAACTTTTGTTTATTATTAATAACTAATAGCTAATTAATAATAAACTTTAAAAAGTAGAAATGAGATTGTATTTATCGTGATAGTTTTATCGTGAAAGTAATTATTTATGTTTTTGTCACTTGAGTTAATCTTAAGGTAACTTTAAACTGTTAATAGACGGGTAATTAACTCAGCGTACGCTTTACAAACTCGCGATCAACACACTTTTTAATCTTTAAGTAATCTCATTCGCTGCAGGACGTGTAAGTAGTTGCGTGAGTTTAAACCTCATATTTATTGCACAATAATTACGCTTATAAAATTTTAATTTCTAGTTTTAAAATAGCGTCTACCGAGCCGACAAGATTGTTTTATAACTTATATTCACAACATACCTTTTTTGTTTTTTAATATAAATAATATAATTCGTTGTTCTTCAAACTCATTTTTTATGCTACAGAATTTAAATTTAAATATTTTATATGCACACAAAAGTTACATGGAAAAAAGTAATGCTCTGCTGAGTTAAGCTTAAAAAGTAAATATGCTCGGAAATTTATTTACTATAAAATTTTATTCTGTTTAATCCGATTCGGAAGTTTCCCGCCCGTATATACCGATAAAATTTATTGCGTAATTTGATATTGACTTTTTTTACGTCGATAAATAACGATTAATATATATATATAAATATATTGTTTTATTTTTTTCAGATAAAATCTGACAATTCACCGAATAAATTTATCCAATCGTTGATAAAACTTGTTTGCATTATGTCAATTTAAATTAAATGTAAATTTGGAACACCTAAGAGATAAAAAGTTAAATGTGAACGTATAAATTTTTTTTTTTTCGAGCGAGAATAATTATTTGAATAAAGCGCATGTCTATAGAATACGAATTATTAATATTAATACCATTAAATCATTGACATATATTAGTGATAAATCATTTAAATTCTCTATTTTTCTTTCCTTTTTTTTTTTTTATTTTTTTAATAAACCGGAGATGTGAATTGAGGTCACGTATGACAAAATGGACGGAAATGTTAATCTTAGAACTATATTATTCTGATGATTTGTGAATATTTATTCCCGGAAAGAATAACCTGCAAAAATACACTTTAGAATTGGTTAATTTGTGAATATTGCTAATATTATATTCATTATTTAATTATTTTAAATTATGAATATACATAAAAAATTAATTAAGATTCATGACGTTACACAGTAAAAAATTTTGCGTCATTGGGTCAAAAAATTTTGTGTTAAAAATTTTTATGTTAAATATTTAACACAAAATTTTTTACTGTGTACAATCAATAAAACATTGAAATCTAAAATTAGTAAGATGCAAGACATAAACTTTGAAAACTAAAAGCTTCTTATATAAAAAATTACGATTTGATATGAAAATAACTGTCACAACTAACGTCGAACATCTGCACTATATCCGGAAAAAAGAAAAATTTTTATTGTCGATTTTATTTTATTATTTTTCAATACCTTACTTTAACGCGGTAAAGAAAATTTGTAATAATTTTTTATGATAATTTATTGATTAAAAGTTATGAGATTACAAAAGAGAACTATTTTTAATTTTGTAAATCCAAATTAAGCAACACAAATAACTTTTTGTTAAAAATTCACCTTGTTATTGTCTAGAAGAATTATTAGCTTCTTAGTATTATTTTTTCCAAGCATCTGACTTTTATTATAAATGACTGGTAATCTCTGGTGGTACGCTACATACTGTAGCTATTTATTTTTTAACCTTGCTTTCTTCATTACTTCCATATTTTTCAATTAAAATATTTGAATTATAAAACTTAATACACCCAGAAGAAATGTGAAAACAAGACCGAGTATTAAAAATTTAGCAAAGCTTACAGAAAATATTTCATTTTAAATTATGTCATTAATAAATTCTGTATTTTACTACGTTTTGATACAAATAACCCGAAAATCTTGTACTAATTTTATTATAACATAGAAGAAAAGTTTGTTTATTGAATTTGACTTATATTTATATTTTTATATTTATATTTATTAATGATATATTTTTGGACCGACAGGTTCGATTCTTGGCTTGGTAACCAACCCCATTTATTTTTTCAAAGTCTGTCTTTGCTCTCATTCAATTTTCTTTCACTATCTTTCACTTAATTAACATCCTCATAACTCGAACAGATACTACAAGCTTCCAGCTTTACTAGTATTTAAGTTTGATGGATACCCATCGAACTACTTTGAAGAGAGAATATAGCTCTCGATCAAAAGGGAAGATGAAAGATCCATCTTTAGACTAAAATTAGAAAAACACTAGTCTTCGTCCGAAAATAGGCCAAAATTTTAATTCATTTATATTTATATTTATATTTAAAAATATTTTCTTTTAGTTTTTAACTGTATAAGTAATTATGATTAATGAGGAAGAATATAATAATTAATAGTTAACTAATTTTTTGATCTTAAATTAATGACTTGATTGCGCATGTGCAAAAATTAATACCAAATTTATGTCAGTTGTAGTAAACTTTACACTTAAGGCTAGTTTTTTAATCCAGGATAAAATTTTATCCAATGATGAAATATATTTATATATATATATAAATATACTGGCAATAATAATAATACTTTTATTCTAAATTGAAAAACTGAACCTTAATTTATGAAGTTTATTTGTCAGTGTTGATAATAATTAATATTAAAAAAAAATCAAAGAAGAAATACAAAAAATTCTTTTGTAAGATCAATTGTTGAAGTTAAAATATAAATCCCAACAATAGTTGTAAAAAAATCAGTTATTTTTTTATTGGTAATAAACTAATAAATAATAAACTATATTTGTTTTATTAATAGAACGATAAAATTCTCAAAGTAAATACAAATACAAGATTTTGTATTTTATTTCTATCTAAACGTGTTTGGCAACGTAAATCTATTTACTCAACACCCTTTTTTCCAACCACTTTAGATGTATAAATAAAATAATCATAATAAATAAGAATGATAATAGTAAAAATAATAATAATAAATATTTACCATTGAGAATATGAACAGTAACAGTTTTATCGTTGGCATTACTAGGATGACAAGTGTAACTTCCACTGTCTGCCGGTTGTGCGCGTTGAACCAAAAGATAAGAAGTAGTAATCTCACCCTTTTCCGTGATTACAGAAACTCCACCTCGCGGACTGTCGTAATTAATCTCCTGTTGGTTGATACAAACACAAAGAAAATGAACTACTGTTAGTTTGTTCTTTTTTTTTTTTTTTTTTTATTCATTTTTTCGTTGAAATTAAATAATTAAAAAGCATCACGCTCATGCTAGGCATGAATAACAATTCTAATGATATGACGTTCAAACTTTTTTATTAGACGTCAGCAATTAAAAAGTTACTTGTAATAACTTGATGAACTCTTACTGAGTTGCGTGTTGATAGTTCTAATTATTATAATGATAATTATAAGATTTTCTCGTAGATATTATATATGAAATATTTAATTACTTTTAGAATAAACATCAAAAAGTTATTTTCGTTTTGGATTTGAATTAGTATAAATTAATGATATAAATTTCAATACTTTGAAATTAGTTTTTAAAAGAAAAATTATTTTTAAAGTAATCAGCTCATAAAGATTTGAATTTTAATTATAATTTTATTTACTTTGCGACCATTCATTTAATTTTTATGAATGTTTACTTTGCAATCTATTTTTAATAATTATTTTTATCAATTTTTCTAGTGTCAATTAATGTTACTGTAATGTGAAATATCGAGTGTACTTTGACGGAATCAAGTATCTTGATTTTCGAGTATTTCAAACTTTAAAAAAAAATAAATTAATAATTGGAGAAAATTTAATTGATAATAAAAATAGTAAAAATTCATTTTTATAATCATAATAATGACTGTCATATTGTGTGAAATATTAATTACGATCATTAATAACACCATTTTAAAGGTGATTTTACGTCCGTTAAAATTAAATGCAATATTAAATTTAAAAATAGTAGTACTCTACTTGTTTATTTACTCTGAATAAAATATTGTCAGATGTCTATTACTTTCTGTACCATTAAATTTATATTAAAACTACTACTGTCTTTCTTGAAAAGTTGTGATTTTTAAGATACGTGGTTGCGTCTGAGTACTCTTGACATTTATTGTCTCGTAGATGCTCGAGGAAGTTGAAATTAAACGAAACGACACAAAATAATGCTCAAGATTAAAATGATGGTTTTGATACCCAGATTACTTGCAACAATACAACAACAACATGGACTTGAATGGAGATGAAAAATAAAAATTGAAATTAATAATAATAATAATAACAATCTTAGCTTTTAAAAAATTTATTGACAACAATAATAATAATATAATGGCCTTTAGGAAATTTTGATTTCTCTGCCAAGCATTTTTATTATTATCTATATTATTAAGAGAATAAGTGAAATTTTGTGGCCAGTGTATTTATATGATAAAATGGGTTTTTATGGTTAAATTTGGTATCGTTGAAAAGGTCTTGATCTGAAGTTGTGCCTTTTCAATGTTTCATATGATTTTTTAAAATAATTTATTTATTATATTTATTTATTTATGTTGTTTTGTACACGTCAATGTGGTTATAAGTCAAAAATTAATTTATATAATTAAGAGACTACGAAAAATTTAGTAACGGGTATATCTTTATCGTAAATTGGGTTTGATATTTTTTAGCGATAGTTATTTATGATTTAAATAATTGAGAGAGAAAGGAAAATTTTGTGACGAGCATATTATTATTTTTAAAGAAATTTTTATAGTTTAATTTAGTATCATCAGAAAGGTCGAGACTAGAATTAGTGCCTTTGGGTTTTATATATTTTTTAGTAGTCAATTTTTTATGTCAAGTTTTCGGAGGAGTTTTTAATAGTTTTTTTTGGTTCTATAAATTTGTTCGGTTACATTTGTCCATTAAATTATTTGTAATTGATCCTGTGATAGCACTATTATTTTAAAATTTATTTAAAAAGTAACCAAACTATATACAATGTAATTATAAATATTATTATTATTATTATTCTCAGAAAAAAAGGACTTAAGAAAGAAACGATTTAAAAATTTTTAATAGTAATAATAATAATATTAAATTACTAAGTAATATAATGTAATGAGCAATAATTATATTTGGTAATACGTAACTCACCTTTTCATTGTGAGTCCAAAATATCGCCGGAGGTGGTTCTGGACTAAACTCAACTACGCACGTTAAGTTCATAGTGCTGCCTCGGTTTATGTACATTTCCGGTTCGCCAATTACTGTCGTCACAGGTTCTGCAGAATTCATTAAAACATGCGCGACATACTAGTTACCAGCAAATTCAACAAATATATTTTCTATCCTATATTTATTTTGATTGCGTTAATTATTAATTCCAATTGGTTAATAAATTTAGTTACATATGTATGAACACATGGATGTATATAGTTTATTTACACTGTTTTAAATATGAAAAATGCATATCTTCGTTTTCGACCAAAACTCGGTATCAATAAAAAAAATGCATTGTAATAAGTTGCCAGCCGGAAATTGTTTAACGAATTATTCGTCGCATGGCAGAATACTTTTTAAATATCTCTCAATGTGAATAACATCGTTTTTTAACTATCGTGTCAGGTGCAGTTTCCTGTAAATACGCGGCTCCAAGCAGTGTTGAATGCCATCGTCACACGCGACAGTTAAATACGCGAGTTGATGTGTAAATTTTCCACAGACGAAATTTGTTATATTCATGAAATAAAATTACTTATATTCTTCAGTTATGTGTAAATAAATAACGCGCAGACTGCTGAAAGTATTGTTCGTTTTGATTGCGATTATTGTTGTTTTGTATCCTAAATTATTATAAATTATTTGGTGACAACTTGAGAGACTTTTTGGTTTTTATTTTTATCTACCGTTTATTTATTTCATATATTTAACTTCAATTTTGTGGATTTAACTTGGCGTAATTATTTGACAAATTTTTATTTTTACTTAATAAAAAGCTAATGGATTAAAAAATGTAACAATATTTGACATTTATTGCCCATTTGTCATTTAAAGTTAATACTAAAATTTTTTATTTACTATGGTTGAATTGAAGCTCAGCCTTTGGTTTTAATTTCATAAAAATTTTTTTCAATAATATTCACAAATATTTATATCTTCCTCTACTGAATAACAAAAATAACTCTCGGAAATTTGAGGTTGAATTTGTAGTAGCGTTTTTGAATGGTAAAGTATCAACCTAAAATCTCTAACCTACTTTTAATTAAAAATAATTCAGGATTTTCATAATAAAACTTTTGATTTATAATTAATTCAACATACAATCTAAATTTTGTATTTTTCCCAACATACTCTCAGTTTAATTCGTTCTATAAAAAAAATATTTTTCTCTTAGTTTCTTCTATTTAATATTTTTTAACAGATATATATTTAACTTTCATTCATTAAAATTTTTCCCACAATAATTTTATTTTTATTATTTTCATGCAGTTTTAATTTATTTTTTTAAAACCACAAGCCTGCATTCGAAAAAACTCTGGCCAGAATTAATTTCGTTTTAATTTATTTACTCTCTAGAAGGACAAAATTATTAATTTAAAAGATTATGAATTTTTTAACTTACTTAACCTCATTATAAAATACAATATGAAGTGAGAATATTTGTTTTAATTTTTAATACACTCAAAAGCGTTGTTCTATTTAATTAAAAGTTAAAAGCTCTCTGAATTTATTAATATATTTAATTTAACGTTGCTGATATATACATACGTTTGAATTCTTTTTATTCAACGCTCCAATTCGTAACTATTATTTTAATTGCAGAAAAAAATCTCCGTAATTATCGACTTCACTCCACCCGATTCTTGTTAAACAATACGCGCAATTATTTATAAATGAATATTAATCGGGCGTCTAATTTATTTGGCTGATTAGTGTAATGAACCAAAATAAACATATCGATCTTCCTATGTACTACACAACAGTCTATAAAAATAAACACCAATTATCACAACCCAATGCGTAAAAATAAGCAGTGCATGTTCAATTTTTCATGATTTTCTGGATAATTTATCAATTTCGTGTTATGAAGATAATTATTTATGTTGATTGAAAATTATGAGATAATAAAAATTTATCCTCGTTTAATATGATGATTTATGAATTTTTGGCTTGTTCAAAAATTACAATTTATAATTCCGTGATAAATTGTAATAATTATTGATTACTTATTTATCTAATAGTAACTTCTTATAAATATAAAAAATCAAAGTAATAATTCCAAAAAGGGTCAAAAATATAATTTAATATTTTTCTCAATTTTAAATATTCAAAAATCAAATTCTTTTTGTTTTCTCAAAATTAACTATTTCATCACTTATTAACATTTTTGAACTATTAAAAAATGTTACACCAAAAAAAAGAAGATTATAGTTATACAAATTATTACATTTTTAAATTTTTGAATAATTCAAAAAAATAATACTAATAATATTTTAATATCTAATAGTTAAAAAATTATTTATGATTATTTACCAATGTAATTATAATAAATCAGAAAAATGATCAAAAGTATGATTAAAATTTTTTTTTGCAATTAATTGTTCAAAAATATTAAAAATTGTTTTCTATTTCTTCAAAATTAACTGTTAACATAATTTTTGAATATTTTAAAATTATTCAAAAATGTTATACCAAAAAAAATTATAACAATTTTTAAATATTTATAATTGTACATTTTTGTTTATGCAAAACTATAATAATAATAATAATAATAATAATAATAATAATAATAATAATAATAATAATAATAAATTAAAAGAATGATTAAAAAAAGGCCAAATTCATGATTTTGAAATTGAATGAATTCAAAATTTTTACAATTGTTTTAATCCCTTCAAACATAATTTTCAAAAATCGTTGTGCCAAAAAAAAATGATAATTTTCAAATATTAACAGATCTAAATTTGAAAAAATTCCTTCACTTAAAACTATAACAAAGGTAATAATAACTATCGATAACTACTCGGGAATAATAATAATAATAACGTAAATCAAAATAATAATACAAACCGACAACAGACAAATGCATAGAGTATCCAATGGGCGGAGTTGTCGATATTTGGCACTCATACGTTCCGGAATCACGAAGTTGCGGATATTTGACCTCAAGTGTCCAGTCTTCTGTGCGAGGAAAATGGGATGCTACGAATCTTTGATCGGACGTATAGGTGTCCGTTCCGACGGTCAGAAGGTGGATATCCCTGTGCCGAACCCAGGATACCTGAAATAGTGAAATAGTATAGAGTGAAAAGAGGAGTAATCGAACGTACAACCATTTAACCTTTTTTCCCCCATTACGCTTACTTTTTTCTCTGGTAAAACCTTTTTTACTTTTTTTATTTTAGTTACATCAGTTAGTTAACTCTTTTCAAAGCCACGAGAAACGTAAACTTTTCTTTAGTCATTTAAAACTCGCTTATTCTTTTTCTTTTTCTTCATTTTTAAGTTCCTTTTCTCTTTTTGTCCCTCTTTGTTTTTGCTATTTTAATGACGTAAAAAAATAATACCACCAACAACAACTATAATAATCATTTAAAAAAAAAAAAATAAAAATAACAATTATTATTGTTATGGGAAAAAAATAACAGAAGGATTTGTTGGTGAAATTTATAACATGTGCTCTGTAAAATAATCCCGAAATGTAACGAGTGTCGTAATTTAAATGAAATTGGATAAAGACAAACCATTAGTCACGTTCTGCCAACACGTGAAGCAAAACAGTGCAATCCAATTATTTTGTCTATACATTTTACATAACGTTAAAAAATTATTACTATCGGGTTTTTCGTGATATGAAATTTAAAATTTTTATTGTTAAAGTCATATGTCATACCAATAAATATATATGTGTAATAAACATACACATACGGAAAAATCACAAAGAATATAGAGTATAGAATATATAATAATGCATTCAATGCTTGCAAATGAATGAATTTCATCATAAAGTTTCTTGGTACGTTATAGTTCTCAGATACTTTTTTATTTTTATATTAAACCGCGACTAAATTACAAGTAGCGTATCCATGAATTTTTAGTGCGCTTCTAAAGTATGAATTGATTATAAAGTTACTTTTTCGTTAAATAAGAACTGGATACTTTACGTAAATTTTTTTATTTTTGAATAAATTTAAGTATCTATAGAAATAAGATCATTGGCTTACTTCTCTAATTATATTATCATTATTATTATAACTAATAATATTTTTAAGGCAGCTTATTATACACTCCATTTTTTCAACTTAATTTAAGCATAAATATTTTTACTATGTACTTAAATTTTTATTTCTTCTGTTAAAGAGTTAACTCTCGGTAAATTTCAATTTTTCCTAGTGAAGAAATTGGTTGAGTTAGAAACAGCTATTATACATTTATAAATATTGACATTTTATAACATAAAAATTTTATGGAGTGATTTTTTAAATTTTTTATGGATGGTCTCAGTTTGACTTAAAATCAAAAATTTTTTGTGTTTTTTCGCTTCCAGTTCAGTTCACTGCTTTTATTTTTGAACTATATATAGTATTATATATATATCCTGTTTTTACAATATCTACAATTCAAAGTAAAGATAATAATAACTAAAAAAATTTTGAGTTAATGATTTTTCAATATTTTACTAAAGTATGAGGTTTTAAATAAATCAAAAAATAATATTGTAATGATAGAATTATTTGCTAGTTATTTAATGAACAAACTTATTGAATCAACAACTTATTCAAAACCCCGTCAAAAATTTGAAATAAAAAATTGACTATCTCTAAATAACATATACAAAATCATGAAAAGGCAAATTCAGGTCAAGAGCTTTCCGATAATTCTTAATTTAACTATAAAATATATATTTATATATGTGCTTCATCAAATTTTGTACATTTTCTTAATTATATTCACGGAAAAAAATTGTAGGAAAAATCACAATTGTCATATCGTACTCCACGACCAGACTTTCAATGTCTCCGTTTTTATAATTTTACATTTTAAAGTTTACGATGTTCAATCGTGAAAATTCGTACATTGACTACTTTTATGCGCATTTTTACGATGTAACATCGTAAATTTTTTAATATAAAATAAAGAAAGTGAAGATTTGAAGCCTGTTCTTGAATTACGATGTGACAATTGTATTTTTTTTTTTTTTTCATGTGAATTATAATATTTAATAACATGACACATGACATTTACATCTACGAAACAAAATAAATAAATAAACAATATTTATTGAAACTACTGAAAAGAAAATAAAAAAAAGGACATTCGGCAGCTGAAATGGAAGTAGATTTCTCGAATAAAGAAAATTTATTTTTTATAAAATAATAATATATAACTTAATTCGTTGATTAAAAAAATTTCAATAATAAATTAAAAACTATTTAGAACTAATTTTGTTCAAAAATTATCTTGTAAAGTAAAAAGTTTTTCGAAAATTTATCAAACAATTTCAAAGATTAAAGTACATCGTTAGAAATTTTCAAGAATATACATTATTGTGTCAAGAACATTAATCCCTAATAGAAGTATTTTTTTTTTTTTTTTCAATGTAGTGTGAAATTCTGATTTATTTAAAACTTACAATGAATTAACTATCACTGAAAGCTATACACCTTTTGAATGATTCTAAATTTGACTAAAAAAAACTCTTTCTTTATTATATAAATAAAATAAATATATCGGAAGCTAAATGTTTCTTATTTTCTCAGTTATATAAAAATAATAACAACAATAATAATAAAATAAAGAGTAATTTTCCAACTAAAAATTGTAAATGATATAATTCAGTAACACGAACTTGACATTAGTTGGAGAAGAAAAACATAAGATCGTCCGTTTTATTTTCGATAAAAGCCGAGTGCAAGTAGTAATTAAATTAATTTTCCCAGTCCTGGAACACAATTACGGCAGCAAATTTCAACGCTTTGCAGCTAAATTTATTTGAAATTAAATCATTTTATTTCTTCACCAATATTGAGTTTAAATAGACGAGAATCTGGATAATTATAATATTTTCCGCGGATATGTATCGATTTCTTTGGATTCGTGGCGAGTTCGTTGGAACTTTCGCCGGAGCATATTGCGAATTCGTATTCGTATGGACAATCGTATGGACGGTGTGGCTTAATGTATATAGAATAAGTGAAAGGAAATTTACTTGTGTATAGAATATGCGAGAAAAAATTATTAGATAGCTTGGACTGGGATTCGAACCCAGAACCTTCCGAAGACATGTCGGCTACTCGACCATTTGAGCTATCCGGTCTATATTAAATTTCCTTTCACTTATTCTATATACATTAAGCCACACCGTCCAGTCTTTGAAAACGGCTTAATGAATCTTAACAAACTCATCAATGGAATTATTTAAAAGCGAAAAATATATTTACCACAGTTTCTTTCAAACAGATGATTAACGCGTCAGTTAATTATAGAATAAATTTACTGAAATAAATAAAGTAGAAATATAAATTATAAGATTTTAAACCGTTCGTCGATCTACTCGACTGATTTTTACAGCTCAATAATAATCGTTCCGGATTAAATAAAGTATACTAATAAGCAGTTTAAAAAAATGACCTAAAAAACTAAAAGCGGCACTTGGCTCGGGAGTATCCAATTGACAAGCGCCCCGTCTTTGGGATTTAAACAAACTAAAAAGACTAATTTATCGACGCCGAACTTTGTTTGGTAATAAAACTATCTCAAAGAAGAAAACATAAATAAACAAATAAAAAAGAGAGAATTCTAGAGCACTAGCTGTGTTCTTTTATATAAATATAAATCAATCGTTTTTCTTCAGACTAAAACGGACTGTTTTTCCTCTGCTCACAATATGCTGAAAAAAGTAAACTAGGATTGTTTTTTCCCGTAATTGATGTGTTATTTTCATGTTTAAAAATTTAATTGTTCAGTATGTAATTTTATGAAAACCGAGCCTTTATTTTAAATTTAAACGTTTTTTATCCCCGTTGTTTACTTTTAATCCCTACTTCGTGGTGCGCGTCGGAAAAATACGATAACACGCGATACATATTATTTTAAAAAATTACAATGTCTGAAATATTTATTTATTGTCCGATAAAACACACAGATGACCGAGTTTTGGCACAGGCGACGTTAGAACCGTCTATCCTACTTGTTTATGGATAACCTAAATACCAGAACATAACATAACCACCAAAAATTAAATCAAATATTTATATATTTATGTCCCATTGCGAGTTGAGTTATTCAACGAATATTCGTATTATTATAAGTAATTAATATTGTTTCAATCTGTTCTGTAAACTAACATCTCATATAACTTTCATGCATATGTTTATTATAATTTCATAATAAGCAATTATTTTATAGGTTATTCTATTGTTTACGGCCAAGTAATTTTATGTATCCATCATATTAGTTATGCAAATGAGTAAAAAAAAAAAAAAACAATAATATAATTGCAAAGTCCTACAAATTATCAATGAAATTGATATATTTTTGATTATTTAAATCGCGCTTACATTCTTCATTAGCAAAGAAATAAATTTTATATTGAATAAAACATTAAAATAATTTTTTTGTGATCGAAAACGGATAAAATCACTTGAAATATTTTGTTGTAATTTTGTTGTAATATTGTTTTTATTCAATTATTTATTTGTACCCAGCAAAAAAATTAACTTGAATCTAGAAAATGGTTATGATTCTTTTAGGAAGAAAAGAATCTTCCGTCTAGGTTGTAGACTAAAAAAAAAAATTCTTGACTGGAGAGTAAATTTTCTTGGCACAAGATTGAAAATTTCTTGAAAGAAGTCAAAGTTTTTTGAGCCAAGAAAATTTCTTCTTGCTTCAAAATAACTTTTGTCTTCCTTAAAATTTTCTTGGTGCAAGAAATTTTTTTTTCTGTGTATGAAAATGATTCAGCTTAATAATCATTAATTTTAACGGCCTAATATTTTTTGTTAAATCTACTGGGTATAGATAAATAGTTAGAAAACTGTCAAGAAGCTAGTTCAAATTTAAAATCTCGAATTCGTAAGAATATTTCGCTCAATATTCATACGAATATAATGTGGAAAAAAATTTGATATTCATAAGTACTTTTAAAATAAAATATCTTTCATTAATAAATATTTGCATTTACTCATTTCTACATTACAATATGACTATTCAATTTCTGATTCGAATATTGTGCATAACATTATGCTAATTACATCAGTTGAATGTATTTATTTATGTATGAGCTGGGTGGACGAGGCTTTCATCACTCGTGAGTTGGCGCACTCGTATCGCTCGTTGCACCAACCTTTTCATGGTCGAGAGCTTCACTCAATTAGTTAAACAAACTTAATATATAATAGCGCCTTCTATATAGTCTTCCAACATAATTGAATGTATTGCCAAAAGCTGACGCTGAATTTTGTTAGTATAAAATTTTTTAAATAAAATTTTTACATATTTTCTATTAATAGCGAGAAATATAAACTTCAACATGGTACTCAAATTTTTGCGTTTGATAATTAATGAAAAGAGATCTAACTGTAACACAAAAAACTCATTTGATAAATAAAAATTTATGATGAGAATAATATATATAATTTTCGTTTGAAAGTTAAAAAATTCTTTTGAGTTTCAAGATGAGCGTACGTGCTAACGAGTTAACCTATTTGTCTGATATAGACACGAAACATGTGAATATTAACCACCTGCTTAGTATTAGACTTGGTACTAAGATAGATCACAGCACTTCGTTAAATATTTAGCGACATGCAAGTTCTTGTACCCATACGATTCATAAAGAATGCAAGTGCAGATCGAACATAAATAATATCTGTAGTTTGATCTGTTTGGATGCTTATTTTTCAATTTACAGGTCAGACGGTGATTATATTCAATCAGAGAGTCAGTAACTTCTGTAAATAGCAATGAATGAAAAAAATTTATTTTGTTTCTTCAGCTATTAAAAAAAAAAAAAAAAACAGCTGAATGTTAATTTAAAAAATGTTAGAAAGTTTATGTGGTTATATTGTTTAAATTAAGCTTCCGGTAGATTAGGGTTCAACGTCACGATTTTTAATTAAGTTTAATGGTGATAAGACTTAAGCCGTCTAATAGAGTCTTTATAGTGAGCTTCAAATGGATGATGATGATTTAAATCTAATCTAAGTAATTTTGTTAATGGAAACTCACTTGAAAATTTTTGTGAGGCTTCAAATATTTTTCATGATTAGTCATTTTTGGAAAATTGGAAATTTGAGAAATTGTTTTGGGGTTTTTATTTTTCGCACGAGCGTGACAAATATTTCTCCATTCTTCTATTTGAGAGTGACAGAGCGAGCTGTGTTATTTGCTTTGGCAAATTTACAACCTTTCTTATATTTTTATGCCAGCACCTGGGCTCGAAATAATAAACTTCTGTGTATTTTAACTTCAAGAACTTGTACTGTATAAAGTATGAAATTAGTGGGCGTGTGTTGATATTGAAAGGAAAAAAAAAAAAACATTTAAAAAAAATGATAATTTTTAAACAAGACCAAGAATTTTAGTTTAAAACATCAATTTTTTTTAATGTACATATATTTCTAATATATATTTGTAAAGCTGTCTCTGAACGTGTCACAATTTTAATAGGGCTAAGGTCTAATATTTTTAAACGCCTTTTTCTCAAAACTGTCTTTTTAAAGTCAGTGAGCAAGATTTATCGAACAACGACTGATAAAAGCAGTGTCCAATTTTTATACAATTTTCTTCACTGTATTTTTTAGTAATTGATCTAAGGATTAATGATTTTGATAAATTTTTTTATGTTTTTGCAAAAAATTTTAAGCTTAAATTTTCATTAAAAATCGACAATTTTTCTTTTTTGACAGAGGCAAGAAAAATAATTATTTGAAAAAAAAAAAAAAAAAAAAATTATTAATAAATTTCAAAGTCACTACTATAAGTACATCTATTTTCATATTAATCAATTAAAAAACCTCTTCAAAAAAATCATTGAAAAGTTCTTTTTTCGGCCTCTTAAAAGCGTATAACTCCTTAAAAGTTGTAAAAAAAATTTTTTTTTCCTATAAAAATTTAAAATCAAAATTATGAGTAAGCTATTGAAGGTGCGAAAAAATCATAAGATACTTTCCGCAGAGAATTTTACTCTCTGTAAAAAGTTCCTTATAAATTTTATGAACTTCGTCCTCAGCGAAATTTCAATTTGAAGTAAAAGTTTTACGCTTATAATATTGAGCAATATACAAGCTAATAAAAATATAGAATTTAAAATTTAACTCCAAGGTAAAACAAGAATTGACAATGTATAAAATTTTTTAATAAAAAAATGATTTTACATGAATAATAAGTGGTGTTTTAATTGGTAGAAAAAAAAAAATAGCTTCAATTTGACTAATCAATTCTCATTTGTTCATTTATTCACCAGAAGATGACGGTCCGTAATTTTATTTTTAATGCTAATTTCCGAGCCGTTAAAATTTGAATTTACATTTAATTTTCTGATACTCTTGATTCTGTGAGTTTATGTGTGGCGTGTATAATAATAGTCGGCGATATTGTATAGAGTATTTTGGAATATTTAATTGTAAATTTATGATAAAAAAAATTTTTCACTCTGAATTGTTGAAACAAAGTTTGTTAAGTAGGTGTTTAATGCGATAATATTTCTCAAGTTGTTCAAGAACAAAGATAGAAGCACTGCTATTTTAATTCGACTGGTTTATATATTTTGTTTAGAATTTTATAGGATTTTCCGAGTAAGTAAGTTACGTATGCAAGTTCTTACATTAATATTTAACGTAAGAACTCAACTTTGCCGTTCACATTTTACTAAAGAGAGAAGAAAAAAGTAGGGGATAAATCGAATGAAAAAGTAAGAACTTAACTCGGAACGGAATGGGTTAGAAAAATTCATCGGTATATATCGGTATATACTGTGGAAAATAGAGAGAGAAAGAGAGATCAATGCAGTAAACTATCGGTACTAACTTTGTCGTCGGTCTCAATCTAAATTTCGGGAAGATTTGAATCGATCGTTTTTGTTAACCTGAGTCTTACTTTACTTGACCTTATAAAGGTATATAGGTATATAGCTACAGTTATAACTTTTGATTTAATCGTCAAAACTTTTTACAATTACATAATAAATAAAAAATAATTCCCCGAAATCCAGGGGAAGAAATTCAACGAGAATTTACGAGCCCCACAAATTTAACACACTTCTTTTTTATTGCGTCAAATAAAAGAAAATAATAGATGGTAATTAAAAAAAAATATTAAAATTTCAATTTTAATTTAAAATCTTGACTTTATCGTCCGACTATTAAAATTAAATGTGACATAAATAAAATTTTATTTGCTTTATTAAATAATTTAAGTTCTGGAGTGAGATTTATACTTTTATATCATGACTTAAACTATTGTTATTGTTATTATAAATATTACTGTTATTTTTTTTTAAATAAATTAAATTTTTTTATGAAAAAAATTATTTAATTTTTTCTATTAGAATAAATGAAAATTGGGTCAAATATTTCATGGTGGAAAAGTTTTTAATTAATTTTCTAACTCTGTTTAATAAAAATCAGTTCATTTAATTCATTTAAAATAATAATAACAATAAATTATTTAATCGCATCGGCAATGAATTCAACTAAAAAATGAGACTCGCATGAAAAATTTTCAATCAAACTGAACCAATATATTAAAAATAATAAATCATTCAATAAAAACACGAAATTGTAAAGTGTGATTATTCATGTATAAATAATATCTGTTGTTAATCCATTCAATAGAATTACATATAATAATTCTTCATCAATTATTGTTAAAATTTCTTTAATTTTTTTTTATTAATACTGTTTATACTTAATTCCCCTCATAATTTTTGTAATATCAATGTGTACAAAGCCGTTTGGCGTTAAAAAGTATAATAAATAATAAATAATAATAATAAAATACACTGTGAAGTAACAATTAATCAGAAGAAATAGAAGAATAAGTACAAACTAGCTTCATGTAGTCCTTATGTGACTACTGAGAGTTGCAAATTGTGAATTAAAGAAAATTAGCTTAATGATTTTTCGATATTTTTAATTATAATATATATTTAGTTTGGGTACTTTTTAAAGAAGTTATGAAAATGATATTGATAGAACAGCTGTATAACAAAATACTTAAAAATCAAAAGTTTAGCAACTAATTATATCGCATAGAAAGTTTAATTTTAAAGTTAAAATTTCTTAGTTTGGAAATTTTTCAACTTAAATCAAGAAGATGAAGTTCTTAAAAATGATCTACTTGATTCAAGTAAATTTTTTTTCTGTGAATAAATTAAAAATATTAATATTTAAATTAAGTTAAAAAAATTAATTGTACAATTATTATAATTTATAATAATAAAAAATGAAAAAACTAATATTATACTTCAATCTTCTTGAGTATAAATTTATTTAATAATGACAATGATGATACCTATTATAAATAAGTTTTATATTACCTTACCTAGCAATATTAAACTTTGATATTTTAAGTAAACCATCATTATCCAGTTCATTATGAGCATGAACTCAGCTTAATTATACATTACAATAAATTACTCCAAGATAATTAATTCTAAATTATTTAATCGACTTATAAAGTTAAATATAATAGACATTTTAAGCAGAAGCTGAGTAGTCGATTGTCGGTAATAAAAAAAAAAACTATCAAAAACTAAAGCGGAGGAAGAAATAAAAAGAAATTTAATAAACTCACCGTACGATCTCCCAAGTTTCTCACACGACACCTGAGTAGTGCAGACTTGCCGACAAGTGCAGTGACATTATGAGATGCTGCCACATCAAAGTATGGTCCACGATCAAGAGGATCAAAATCGAACTCAATATCTTTACTGTTGTCACCATGATTATTATCGATGCACCCTCCGGGACCTTCGGATAGAAATATACATTTTTTTAGTTTTACTTTCTACTCTATTTCTTTTTATAGTAAAACCGTCAGCTATACTATTCTTTGATGAGATTTATAACATTAATTCCCTTTTTATTGTCTTTTGTCACGTACTAAATTCATAGCTCTGTGAAATTTGAAAATATAATTCATTTTTTTTACTTTTAATAATAGACTTCGTTGTATATTTTTTTTTTTATTTGGTATTTAGATTTTTATTTGATAGTTTTATCGTTATTTAAAATTTTCTCATTCATGAAATTTGAAATAAAAAAAAACAATATTGTATTAGCACGGAGTGTAACATTGCTAAAAAGATTTTTTATTGCAATAGATATTTTTTTTTGTCGAAAATCAAATTTATAAATCCATTAAGTTCTAAAATATAAAAATAATTGCTTCAATTTTCGTATAATCAAATTATTCGGGAATAATTTTTTTTTTTCAACATGAAATTAACTTTTTTATTCGTAAAATTTGAGTTCGATGGATAGGAAAAAAAAGTGATGTTTAAATCATACCCGGTGATATAAAAACTGTATCAGGGCCGGTGTCAACTGAGTACATTTTAAATTTATATGATTCAGCGATACGAAATCGGAATGTAATGTATTTCAAAAAGATTGATTTAACATCTTCTATATACTTCCTTGATAATGTAAGCACTAAATATACAAAGTGTCATATTTTATGTCTTCCTTATAAACATTTTTCAAATTTCGCGGGAAATTATCGGTCGTACATTTTATTCATTTTTTACGCGCTTTTATTACTTTGACTTGTATATACGTCATTTTTACGCTCTTGAAAAAAGAAAATTATTTTAAAGAGAACAAGTTGTCTTGATTCAAAAATTTTTTATCAAGAGTATATTATCATATGATTAATACAATTAATTTCTTCTTAAAAAAACATAATTTTTTATCATTGAGAATAATTTCATTCTTCTTTAAGACTTTCTTATTTTTAGTTTAAGAAAGACTTTCTTTATTCAAAATACAAAATAAAAATTTTATTATTTGAATTCATTCTTGAGACTTATTTTTAATTTCTTGAAACAACTCGATAAGATCTCAAATCAACGTTACCGTATATCTTCATGACGAGTTCATTCAAGACAAATTCTTTAGTGAAATAGATTATCTTGTGTGAAAATAGTAAAGTGCTTTGTTTGAAACTAAAATTCTTTAATAAAGTATTTCTTCTCTTCATCTAAGAGTTCTATAACTCAAATTCTTGATTCAATTCGTATAAATTTCTTACATTAAGAGAACTTAATGTCTAGAAAGAAGAATGAACTTTTAAAGAGAATGTCTTATTTCAATCAAGAAGTTTTTTTTTCTCTGTGGTTCTTAATTATTCTAAAAAATTTGAAAATAAACTCATTAAATAAATAATACGGTTTAATAACAAGTCAAACTAAAAAGTAGAAAATAATTTAAATAAGAATAGAGTGAATAACAAAAAAAAATTTTATTTGTAAAAAAAAAAATGTAGGGTGTTTTTTAACATATTTTTTGTAATAATAAACTTTTATAAATATTTACATTAATTTTATGAAGCACTAAAAGCTTTTTTTACAATAAAATGAATTTTTTTCCTCACTCTTTTCTAATTTAAATTATTTTCTACTTTATAGTTGTTTGTCTTAAAACCGTTACGTATTTTTCTCTTTTCTAACCTATAATAATTTATCTAAATATTATTTTATAAAAGTCTGTAAGACAATCGAATTATATTTCATTTCAAATAAATTTCATATCTTTCAAATTATTTATTGACATATCACGATAAAAATCAGCCAAACTCTGATATTAATAATAAAAAAGTCTATCTATCCCCGACATCCGTAAGCCGTACATTCGTCCCGATGTTAAAACACGAGATATCTCTGGAAAGACACAATTAATTCTTTCAATTCTTTTTGCGATCGATTTCTATCGGCGAACCACAGGTTGCTATCGTAAATCACTGTCTTAGCTTTCCTAGTTTACTCACAATAAAATAAATAAGTCTAAATACGGGCCAGATAGCGACGGCCATATTGGACATTTCTGAACTCAGTTGGCGCTCTCTAACAGCAGCAATGACTGACACCAATTGTTTTGAAATAAAACTCAACTATCATTAATTTTAACGTTTTGTTTTTTTAATCCCAATTCAAATTTTTTTTGCAGAGTAAATTATTGCTTAAAAAAATGAACAAAAATTAAGATAATTTTTTTAAATTTAAATTCAGATAAATAAATAAAAAAATTTTAAGTTTTAACAAAAAGCAACCGGACAAATTTGTTATTTTTAATTAAGCTCAAAAGTTTTTCGCGTAATTTTTACAGACCCGGATAAAATCTCTGGAGAGGAGACGAAACAAAAAGGCCTGAAAATAAAATTGGATAAACAAAACAAAAAACAATGTAACTTACTGACGAAGAGTAGACCAAGAGTAAAAAGCACACTTTTCATTTTTTTCTCGCTGGCATTCCTCTTGACTATGTGTTCTTTTTCCCCCACTTTTCTTCCCTTTTCAACGCTATTCTTCTCTCCTCTATCAGAAGTGTTTTTTATATTTCCTCTAAATTCCAGGGACGTTTTGTGGCCTCAAATCGACGTACCCTCGAGACGGCTTAGTACCACCCTCAACCTCGTCTTCATTTCTCGAATAAACTTCATTTCTAACAAAATGATATGAAATACCGAATCTAAATCTGAATCTGAATCTCGCGAACCTTGAATAAACCTATCAAACTCGGGCGACAATTTATAATTTTAATTACCCTTCACTCAAACTCCTTTACACCCTTATTTTAAATTCCCAAGTTACAACTCATTTACTCGAATAAACATTCAACATTTATCTTTTTAACAGTTAATTGTTATCATTAAGCATTGCGTTATTTACGGGCCTAATTATCATTCACCATCAAAACCATTAAGCCTTATAACTTGCATGTTATCAGTAGCTCTGATTAAACTTAAATGACCCGTCAGTTAGTGACATTTTTTATTGCACCACGCACTTTAATAATCTACTGTACTTGTACACTTACACATTCCTCCGGTTACTGTACGTGTATTTGTAATTGTGAGCTATTTCTGGCAAACACGAACTTGTCTGACCATACTAGTTTTTTACTACTTTTAAAGTTTAGATAATGGCTACTTTATCATAAACTCTTTTTTTTTTGTTTTTATTATTTCCGCAATATAAAAAAAATTTGTTTTTTAATTTATCAATTTTTAGGAAAGTTTTTTTTTTTTTAATCACGAGTTTTCTGTAATTTATCAAAATTTTCAATTTAATTTTTTTGAAAATTTTTATTATTTTAAATTATTATTATTCTCAGTTTTAAATTAAAATTTTACTTAAATTAATTTTTAATTAAAAATTACTTTAAAAATTTTATTGTAATAAATTAATTAATGAATTTTCAATCAAAAAATTATTCTCAAAATTTTATCTCCATAAATTTTTTAAATCTATGGAGATCTCTCCATGCTTTAATGTCAAAATTTTATTACAATTAAATTTTGAAAATTAATTTTGAAATTATTTTAAAAATTTAGTTTTCAAAGAAGCATGAATAAATAAAATGATATAAAAATTAAAATAATAAATAAATTTGCATAATTAACGACTTATTCAACGATAACAACATTAAGTTAATGAATCCATATGTTAAATTCCACATTCATAAGCTCACTTGTAAATTAATCACTTCATACCGGAGACACTGTGTCCAATATAACGAAAATTTATCAGTGGATTTGTTGGTAACTCAATCATAAACAACAACTGTCCAATCACATATGTCGTTGAAACTTACTTCAATAAATCCCAGCAGTCAAACTTTAGAAGAGTTAAATTTAAAAAAATTTCTAGAACTGAAAAAGTCACTGAGTAAAATAAAAAATAAAATAATAAATAGTTTGATTACTTTAGCGGATTGATGCAAAATAATCTTTGGCTGAGTGAAATATTGAGTCTTAAACACTGTTATTATTGAGAGAGATGAAGATAAAGAGGCTTGGATAATTGCCAATGTTAATTGCAAGTTCGAGCGCTCGGGCGAGACTGGAGCACAAGTTGCGATGAGCCGATTCAACCCCTCCTTTGTGAAGGCTCACCCAAAGAAGTGGGGGATTTATCAAACGAATGTAGGGTAGAGCTAGGGCTGATAAGGGTGAGGAGGACGAGGGATGATAAAAGAGAGAAAGGATCAAGCGCGCATGCTCTCGAAATTTAACACGCAGGCAAACGTCTATTTCATGATATCCATCAGCTTTCTGCTTTCTGCTTTTATGTCTGGAATTTAACGACAAGACAACAGATTTTTATGTACTGAATTTCATCTTTTGTAAATCTAAGAAATTTATTGCAATTGCAAACTAAATAATTCTCCAGCGTATGTTCTGTATTTTTTTTTTTTTTTTAATTACTATCTTTATTTTCTTCTTTACGTTAAAACTTTAGCACCGATCCAATAAATTACACCGAGAAAATATTCCGGAATGATAAATTTTTTAGCATGAATTGTCGAGACAATAACATTCCGCGGTAATGAAACGGAGCAATAATAAAAATTGTTATGATGACGATAATTATGATGGAGAATAAAAGTAAAGGAGCGAGACCGAGCTAGCAAAAAAATAATGTATTTACGAGGGTAGTATCGGGCGGTTCGTGTTTTGTGTTCTTTATTACTTAACATGTTTTATGCTCAGGAATTGCATGTTGAGTGAAAATAATTTTTACCGATATATATATATGCGTTATTATCTTCGGGAAATATTAAATAACTTTGAGATTTATTGTCCCATTAAAATAAGTAATAACTTTATTTTTTGTTTTTTTCTTCAAGAGAATTGAGAAATCTCTCAACGTTGAAGACAATTGATATAAAAGCTGACATATAATAAATAAATTGTGTTGTGTGCTACGGATTTTGCTGGCAAAAAACTCGTCAATATGAGTTCTTATACCGTGGAATACAATACAATACATTACAATAGAATATGAGCTCAAATTGATGATATAGCGCTTCTAATACTATACCATACTATTAGGGTATAAATATTATATATGACTTCGCGGGTATCGGAGCGACGGAATTTTTACAAAGTTTGCTGACAAATATCGAATTAAAGTGGAATTGAAAGTTTAAGATATCAAACTGTTTGGAGGTTGTTTTCTTTTTTTTTAAGATATTAGGATTAAAGAGACTAGAATGATAAAAAAAAAATTATTATTAACATCATTGATGAAGCTCTTTAAAATAATGTTCTTGCTTTAAATTTTTTCTCTTGAATCAAGTTAATTTTTTTTTTTTTTAGAATGTACGATACCCTCAATTGTCACACCGTAATCCCGGACCAGACTTCATTATCATCACTCTCATAATTTTATTTTAAAATTTACGATGTTACATCGTAAAAATCCGTATAAAAGGAGTCAATGTACGAATTTTACGATTTAACATTGTAAATTTTTAAATATAAAATTGTGAGAGTGAAGACATTGAAATTTTGGTCTTGGATTATAACGTGACAGCTGGAATTTTCTCTGCAATTTTTTTTCCGTCTATTTAATTGAGATATATTTTCGCTAATTATGGTAGATAATAATAATAATAATAATTTTTTTATGGATATTTTTATAAGATATTAACTTCAAAGTGTTCATTTCTACTTTTAACAGAAATAAAAATAATAATTTTAAGCGTAGTGAAATAAAAAGGATTGTAAAAAATTTATTAAACCATATTTACTAAATTTTTGTATTTGAGATGAATAATTAATTATTATTCAAAAGAAAATGTACTATAATAATTTTCAAAATAAAAACTCGACGATGAAATAATTATTTTTGTTAGTAACAATAAAAATCTGGAAAACGGTCAACTCTGAAGGCCACCTCTAGAACTTTCTACTATGTACGAGTTCAAAACGCTCGGTAAATTGTTTATTCCAAAGTTTTGAGCTCTAATTTAAAAAATGATTATTTTTACTATAAACAAAAATAAAATTAAGAATAATAGGTGTTTTAAGATAATATGGATGAATTAAACTATACTTAATGTATATTTCGTATCTGAAATCAATAATTATATTATATTAATTCGAAATAATTGACCGTAAATACTAAAGATGTTTAACTATTTAATTCTATTAAATTAAGTCAAATTATCGAATTAGAGTGAAATAAGTTCTAATTGTGAATTAGCTTCTGTTAATATTTACAAATTATCTATCAAATGATGCGCAAATTAATTAGACTACGTGGATTACCAATTAATTAAAAATTAATTAAATAGTTGCAAAATCGAGGCAAATAAAATTTTTCAATCATAAAACACTCTTTGATGCTTTGCATCGTGAATCGTGCAAAAAATGAATTTGAACACTGTTTAACATGAAAAAAGTTGTTGATTAAATTGGATACTTTTCATATTTTATCAGAAATATTTATTATATAAGCTAGATCTTATTATCCGGCAGTATCGTATTAAAAAAAAAAAGTTATGCAAAAATGTGTTGAATAAAATATTTAATAAATATTTTGTAAAGTTATCATATACATGTTATCATATATATTTCTATACCTTGATATATAAAGTACCATCTACAAAGTACTTGAAGAATAAATTTATGCATGTTATTCTTGTTAAGATATGGATTTTTCTTTGTGACTGATTATTATTCAAAGTCTGAGTTTGCGGAGGTGCATAACATAGAGTAACTTAAAATGTAAATTTCACCTGATTGATTCATTAGTCACCATCCTAAATTTGTTTTACGCGTACAAGTGCCACAAATGCTTATCGCTGGCAGTTCTGCCTGCTCCTAAGTACGGCACACTAGTGGACTACGCAGTAAGGCTTATATTAAGCTGACGGTTGCTGCCTGAAACTAACTTACCTAATACTAACAGCCAAGCTGAAACGATGTATCGAGCTACGGCGCGCTAGCCCGGCTATAGCTGCCGGCAGATAGCTTGGAATTTCTAGCATCTCGTCAAGTGCCAGATACACTGAAAATGCTAATTTTTATCTTTCAAGTTTACTATTTTTGTTTGGATTTATGTTTTTCGCTTGATTACAAATGAATTTTTCTTTGAAAATTATCACTTGATGTCTCTTTGATTTTTTACTTTTTAGATTAGTCTTTACGTTACTATTTTTATCTTTTGAACAGCTATTTTCCTATTTGTCATTTTAAATATACGATTTTTTGGTTGAACATATTGATCGTCTTTCCAAGAGTCCCGAGAGATGGCGTTGTTATGCTAATTCAACAAGCTATACATGAAAATGACGTTCCTTGAGTTAAAAAGGCGCGGATTTTTTTAAATAAACGTTTATAAGTCTGAAAAAAACTGGCAGTTCATTGAATTTTTCAATATTTTGAGTTTGTATCATTTGCTCACTAAGAAACTGAAGAAAAAAAGCTGTACCATTGAATTAAAA